CCGACTGGTTGGCTGCCATGCTGGCTGGCTGGCCGACTGGTTGGCTGCCATGCTGGCTGGCTGGCCGACTGGTTGGCTGCCATGCTGGCTGGCTGGCCGACTGGTTGGCTGCCATGCTGGCTGGCTGGCCGACTGGTTGGCTGCCATGCTGGCTGGCTGGCCGACTGGTTGGCTGCCATGCTGGCTGGCTGGCCGACTGGCTGGCTGGCTGGCCGACTGGTTGGCTGCCATGCTGGCTGGCTGGCCGACTGGTTGGCTGCCATGCTGGCTGGCTGGCCGACTGGTTGGCTGCCATGCTGGCTGGCTGGCCGACTGGTTGGCTGCCATGCTGGCTGGCTGGCCGACTGGTTGGCTGCCATGCTGGCTGGCTGGCCGACTGGTTGGCTGCCATGCTGGCTGGCTGGCCACCTTGTTACCCGACAAACTGGCTGGCTGGCCAATTTGTTACCCGACAAACTGGCTGGCTGGCCACCTTGTTACCCGACAAACTGGCTGGCTGGCCACCTTGTTACCTGACAAACTGGCTGGCTGGCTGGCCACCTTGTTACCTGACAAACTGGCTGGCTGGTCGACTGGTTGGCTGCCATGCTGGCTGGCTGGTCGACTGGTTGGCTGCCATGCTGGCTGGCTGGTCGACTGGTTGGCTAGCATCCTGGCTGGATGGTCGACTGGTTGGCTAGCATCCTGGCTGGATGGTCGACTGGTTGGCTAGCATCCTGGCTGGATGGTCGACTGGCTGGCTAGTTGACTGACTTGCTGGCTGGCCACCTTGTTACCTGACAAACTGGCTGGCTGGCCACCTTGTTACCCGACAAACTGGCTGGCTGGCCACCTTGTTACCCGACAAACTGGCTGGCTGGCCACCTTGTTACCCGACAAACTGGCTGGCTGGCCACCTTGTTACCCGACAAACTGGCTGGCTGGCCACCTTGTTACCCGACAAACTGGCTGGCTGGCCACCTTGTTACCCGACAAACTGGCTGGCTGGCCACCTTGTTACCCGACAAACTGGCTGGCTGGCCACCTTGTTACCCGACAAACTGGCTGGCTGGCCACCTTGTTACCCGACAAACTGGCTGGCTGGCCACCTTGTTACCCGACAAACTGGCTGGCTGGCCACCTTGTTACCCGACAAACTGGCTGGCTGGGCACGTTGTTACCCGACAAACTGGCTGGCTGGCCACCTTGTTACCCGACAAACTGGCTGGCTGGCTGGCCACCTTGTTACCTGACAAACTGGCTGGCTGGCCAACTTGTTACCCGACAAACTGGCTGGCTGGCCACCTTGTTACCCGACAAACTGGCTGGCTGGCCACCTTGTTACCTGACAAACTGGCTGGCTGGCCACCTTGTTACCCGACAAACTGGCTGGTCTGCTGGCTGGCAGGTCGACTGGGTAATTGGAATATTGGGTGGGTGCAGCACTTCCCTCCCACACCTCACCTCCCGTACGAGCCGTCAACCCGTCCTCGACTCAAGTCCTTTACATCCAGCGGTCGACCCCACAGACGAATTCATAAATTTTTACATGCTGTTCATTCAAAACGGGAATTTTCTCAAACATAAATCAATATTTTATTAGCATATATTGTGCATATATAGGCCTAGGTTAGGTTAGGTGTTTAGGTTCTGTTGGCGATTATTTGTATTTGTAGTACGTGAGTGAAGCATTTACAGCGTTGTGGTTCGAACAAAATTCGTCAGTGAAGCACTTGTTCCGGAAGTATTCGAACGATTTCAGTTTGAATGTCTTGGGGACCATTGAATGGTCCCCAAGACGTTGGGGATATAGCCTCAGCTACTAATGTCTTTTGAACAGTCACGGTTGGTCGAGTGGTTAAGGAACCGGGTACGCCATGTGCATAGTGCTCCTGGCTGTCTGGATTCGAATCCTTCTGGGGTGTGATTATTTTTATTATTATCTATATAATAAATATAATATATATATATATATATACACAGAGAGAGAGAGAGAGAGAGAGAGAGAGAGAGAGAGAGAGAGAGAGAGAGAGAGAGAGAGAGAGAGAGAGAGAGAGAGAGAGAGAGAGAGAACAAAATAAGAACGATATATAATTACGTTACAAAATAAATAAAATTATAATGAAACATACGTCTCTTTTTACAGAGGTTGAGGGCTCCTCGGTGTACCAACACGTCACACGTCATAAGACGTCGCCAGTAACAAGTCACTGGAAACGTGAGACCTACCAGAGAGTTGGAAGACGGCTAACGTAGTCCCAATCTACAAAACAGTGAGATAGGCAGGAGGCCCTAAACTACATGCCGGTGTCCTTAACGTGTATACCATGCAAGGTGAGGGAGAAGATAGTTAGATAAAGCCTGGTAGCACATCTACCGTTGATTGACAGTTGAGAGGCGGGCCGAAAGAGCAAACCTCAACCCCCGCAAACACAACTAGGAATACATCTGGAGAGAATGGACTTTGTAACACGTCACCAGCATGGGTTTTGGGAAGTTGTGTCTTACAGGTTTAATAGAATTCTATGACCAAGCAACAAGCATTAAGCAAGAAAGAGAAGAATGGCAGACTGCATTTTCTTGGACTGTCAGAAAGCTTTTGACACAGTACCCCATAAGAGACTTTTGCATAAGTTGGAAAAACAGGCTGGAGTAAGTGGTAGGGTGTTCCAGTGGATAAGGGAGTACCTAAGCAACAGAAAGCAGAGAGTTACTGTGAGGGATGAGACCTCAGACTGTCGTGATGCCATCAAAGGAGTCAGACTCATTTCTCTCAGTGTTTGCTGATGATGCTAAAATTATGAGAAGGATTAAGACAGGAGGACAGCAAAGAGGCTACAAGATGACCTAGACATACTGAAGGAATGGTCCAACAAATGGCTACTAGAGTTTAACTCGAGCAAGTGCAAAGTGATGAGGATAGGCATAGGGAGCAGGAGGCCAAACTCAAGGTACCAGCTAGGAGAGAAAATCCTTTAACAGTCAAAACGAGAGAAAGATCTGGGGGTTGATATCCCACCAGAACTGTCCCCTGAAGCCCACATCAAAAGAACATCAGCGACTGATGACCATAAGAACTGCCTTCAGAAACTTGTGTAAGATAAAATTCAGAACCTTGTATACCACCTATGTCAGACTAATACTGGAATATGCAGCTCCAGTGTGGAGTCCACATCTAGTCAAACACAAAACGAAGTTAGAAAAGGTTCAAAGGTATACCACCAAGCTAGTCCCCGAGCTGAGTGGAATGAGCTATCAGGAAAGATTACTGGAACTGAACCTCACGACACTGGAAGACAGAAGATTTAAGGGAGACATGATCATTATCTACAAAATTCTCAAAAGGAATTGATAGGGTAGATAAAGGTAAACCGTTTAACAAGAGTGGTACGCGAACAAGGGGACACAGGTAGAAACTGAGTGCCCAAATGAGCCACAGGGACGTTAGAAAGAACTTTTTCAGTGTCAGAGTAGTTAACAGGTGAAATGCATTAGGCAGTGATGTGGTGGAGGCTGACTCCATACACAGTTTCAAACGTAGATATGATAGAGCCCAGTAGGCTCAGGAACCTGTACATCAGTTGATTGACAGTCGAGAGGCGGGACCAAAGAGGTCCCGCCTCTGGCTATTACCAAAGACCCAAAGTTCAACCCCCTCAAGCACAACTAGGTGAGTACATATCTTAAAGGTGCCGCTATCGTATTTTTACATCCTTCTCACTAAACTGTTGGCCAGATATTACCGCCAGATGGCTCAGTAGTTGGACATTTTGAAGATTTTATCACGTGATAGCATCTACCAGGGTGGAAGCTGCTGCCACAGCTGCATGTTCCACAGCCACTGTAGCAGTAACAGTAGCAGCCGCCGCCACGGTGGGGGGAGAGGGGGGGGAGGGTTCCACAGCCACTGTAGCAGTAACAGTAGCAGCCGCCGCCACGGTAGCAGGGGGGTAAGGGGAGGGGGGATAACCGGTACAAACCCGCATGAGCAGATCCCACCATTTGGCAGCGGCAACGTGCCCTTGACGTCATGACCTTGGCCAACGTCACCGTCCCGCCCAGTTAGGGTGCTAGGCCGAGGTCCCCCGTCACTCTACTGTAGCTTCCTCACTATAATTATGGCTCTCTAGGCTACGCTCCCTCACTGTAGGCTCCTCACCACAAGCTGGTCACCTCTCTCTGTCTAATCACTCTTTTTCACGTTCTATCAGTCCAAATGCTTGCTCTTTTCCTCTATTATTACCTCACTCTCACTATTTCGCCTCTTTGCCAAATGCTAAATATAGCCAACCCGCGTCCACATGACTTCTGGCAAGAACATCCTCGTCTCCTCATAACACTAATATATATTATATTATATATATATTACAATATACTCTATACAATATACAATATACCAAACTCTCACAAGTCGAGCCTGGCCTCGGGCCGGGCTTGGGGAGTAGAAGAACTCCCAGAACCCCATCAACCAGGTATCAACCAGGTATAATATATTATTATATATAATCGCAAAAAATATGCGATTTGGTTATGCGTAAGTATCCACAAAGTAAGAATGAAGATGAAAGTTCAAATGTTTTCTTGTTTCAACACACAATCAACATATTGATAATTTGTTGAAACAAGAAAACGTTCGGAATTTTTGTTTCATTCTTTTTTTAATACATACGCACACTAATATAATATATATTAAATTAGAAGAGTACGACAGACTGCTGAAATCAATGTAAAAAAAAAGGCCTCTCAGCGACTCGCTGAGTAAACAAGGCTCCTTTCCTGTCAGACTCGGGGGGCCTCGGCGTTTGCACAGCAACACAAATTCCTGGACCAGCGTTCCTGTCCTCATCAGTGGCATCTGACAGCCTGGTGAGGGAAATCCTACCTGATTACTTATGTCACCAGGGAGGGGTACAAGATCCCAGCTTTACCGTCTGCACCACCAAATGGGACTCTTTTTGCAGGACCAACACCCCAACCACCACCACCTGAAGCTCACAAGCAATCCAGCTGGAATGGCCCCATTGTCGACCATAAAGCTGCGACATACCTACAAGCTGCGACAACACCACATGACACTGCCCTGCTTAGGGCTGTAGCAGCTCCCCATGCAGGTGACTTCCTATTGGCAATCACAATGTCAGCAACTGGCACTCATCTCACACTGCAGGCCCTCCGAATTGCTGTGGCTCTCCGCCTCGCTGCCCCAATCCACACCGAATACAAGCGTATTCAAGTAGCGCCTGACAGCCGAGTGGACAGCGCTTCATATTCGTAGTCCTGAGGTTCCGGGTTCGATCTCCGGTGGAGACAAATGGGCAAAAAGTTTCTTTCACCCTGATGCACCTGTTCACCTAGCAGTAAATAGGTACCTGGTAGTTAGACAGCTGCTACCGGCTGCTTCCTGGGGGTGTG